ATGGATTCCTCATACCAAAAAACCCCTACAGGATGTTTTTGTACAAATTTAAGCAATTCTTTACGACACTACAGCAAAGTGCTAAGAAACCTAATTTCGAAATTTGGCAAATTCTAAATTGATTTTAGAGCCATGGTTTTTTCGACAAAGTTGCTTGGAATTACACGTATGTAATGTGCAATACGCGGTGGAGTGAAATAAGCCCCGCGGAAATAACGCCCATGGGCTTTATTTCCCAAAAAAAAAGAGAAATAAAGCCCGCTTGACTTATTTCATGGAAATAAAGCCCGTGAGTAGTATTTTCTCTGGCTTTATTTTAGTGAAACATTCAAATTATTAATCTTCCTACACTTTCCAGCCGCAGGCAAATACTTGGTACAATATTTATAGTTAAATTACTAGCAGGCCCAATTTCAAGTCCGCTTCTTCTGGGCGAAGTTAGCCTTAATGTTCCCTCCCTTTGGGGAGGGATTGGGATTATTATTATGAATACAGGCATACATTTGCATAAAATGGAACGTATTTTAAACGAATTGCTCTCTATTTTTGCATACAGTGTAGTTCTGCGTTAATTCCCTTCCTCAGTATACGCATAAAATCGAACGGTATTTTCGCCAATAACTGATAAGCGAATTATTGGAAATTAAAGATAAATTGTTACTGTTTTTTAGCCTTCAATGCGAAGCGCATATTTGTTCTTAGCGTCTTAGGTTTTTCAGTGGTGGCGGGCAAACGCGGACGGCCGCGGTTGATCGCCACCAGGTTCGAGAAGCTCAGCCAATCATTTTAAACTTTGCACAGATTGCTCTGCAGAGAACAGTAGGCGTAATAAGCTAAATGGTAATACAAGCATTTTGTGTCCAATTTGCCGTCAAATTATTCGACAACCGACGAAAGTATTTATTTAACTTTTTCAGTGGTTTGTGTGATATCAAGGCACACACCGCCCGCCCATCGGAGGAGAAGCTCGGCCAATCATTTTAAACTTTGCGCAGATTGCTCTGCAGAGAACAGTAGGCGTAATAACCGAATGGTAATACAAGCATTTTGTGTCCAATTTGCCGTCAAATTATGCGACAACCGACGAAAGTATTTATTTATCTTTTTAATTTCAATTT